CATGAGGACATCGGTGGTGGCCCCCGTGTCACCTTGAGCACTGCTGCTTTTGGGAAGCTGACGTGGGGCACATTTTCTTTAACAGCCAGCCAGTGAGTCCCCGTGCAGCCGTCACCAGCCCCAGAGATGATGGCTGTCAGCACAAAAGAAGGCACCAAATGCACCTTATAATTATGTTCACCATAAAAGAGGGGCAAGCATAAAGGAACAGATGTAAGTTATTCTCACAGAACAACACGGTGACGCTAGCCGGGGGCTGGGGGAAGGCAGGGAGAAAAGCTTTTTGTGCATCTGATTTAGTGATTCATAATTAAAACCGGACCTCGTTTTGAAATTCGCCACAACACACACAATACAGGTAAAATTATGTTACTGCCACTGAAAGCCCCAATTAGAATGTTTCAGTAGAAAAATGCTTAGTAGAAATAAGGAGTTTTGATTTTTTGAAATATGCATTTGTTGGGGGTGACAGCTATTTACAGAGACCCTGTCTCTTCTCTGCAAATAGTAATGCATAAAAAGGAAAACCCCACCTCCTTCTTAAATGTGTGTGTGTGTGTGTTTTTTTTTTTTTTTGCTCAGAGCAATTTCTACAACAACACATTTTAAAATTGTAAGCATGTTCAAACTGGCACATTTAGTTGCTTTCAAAATGAGAAAAAGGTGATTGAAAGTAAAGTTCTGGACAGGGTTGCAGGAGGGTCGATAAGGTGACTATTGAGTTAGGTCTGAATTGTTAAGGTGTCCTAAAGTCCACACACCCATCACCTGTTCCAATGCCCAAGACAGGAGCAAATGCAGTCAGGGTGCTGCAGGGGGATGGCTGAACACGAAGTACGGGCTGCGCAGACTGAGTGGGGACCGGCCTCACCTCCCTCCTGCCCACCTGCCGTCCTGTGGGGGCCACTGGGAAGGTGGGAACAGCATGATGATCCGAGTGGTGACATGTGTTATCAGTTTCACAATAATTCAGGGGACAATTACAATCATTTAATTCCTGGCACATTCTGTTGAACAGAAAATGATTCTGGGAGGAAGGATTTTGTGCAAGCAGCGACTGTGAAGGCCACAGGCGGCCTCCTTGTGGTTTCTCACAGCCTTCAAGGAAAAGTCAAGCAAATACTTAACTGGCCACACAGAGATTTTATTACATTTAATGTTTTCAGGCAGGATAAGTGGCTGTGGAGGAAATCAAGTGAGTTTCTACTAACACTGCTTTTTCCAGTGAGGGCATTTGCCTGACAACCCGACGTGGCAGGTGTGTGTCCCTCTATCTTCCTCGCCCAGTGATTACACAGCACCCACTCCGGCTTCCTCCGATCTTCGTTCTTAATCTCCGCCTCCTACT